TCCGAGTCATCTTAGCTCCATCGCCAAGGAGTCCAAGGAAGACGTGGACGTCGCAGTTCACTGGCGCCGGTGTAAGTCGTGGGACGATAGTGTCGACCGATGAACGGTAGCGTCAAATGTTGTATGTGAATAGTCTAAATGAAGATATATTACGTGGTGTGTGTGTGTGTATGAGTATAGGGTAACATGAAGTATATTACGTGGTGTGGGTGTGGTATTAGTAGGGTAACATGAAGTATATTAACATGGTGTGGGGTAGAGGAGGACACAGACGCTGGCCATGCACTGCACCAGTGTAAGTCGTGGGACGCCATCGAAAGATGAAGCTAGTGTCGAAAATCTCTTGTATGAATAGTGTAAATAATTAGTGTTAATTAATAATAAGTATTTAACATTATTAACACAAGTATATTATATGGTGTCGGTGAGATGAGGTCATTTGCTACTGTTTAATGATTTTTTTGCTTCTGCCAATAAGACTAAATTAAGACAATCAAACTGTAACATGTCCTCCAGTGTCGTTGATTATTATGCGAGTATTTGTAAGGAGAGAGAATTACGTGAGTAAATATGATAGGGCTGAGTGTACGGCAATTTTGGTAGGGGACGTTGGATAGGTATATACTGTTATGCAATAATCTTAGTCTGGATATTGTGGCTATTGCATTTTGCTTTTCACATCTGCCAGGAAAGCGTTCTCCCATGGAGAGTGTGGGGAAAATGAGTGCGCGTGACCGAGCGAGGCTCATGTACAAGTAAGCAGTACAGCTTAACTGTCTCTACGTCATCATTAACTATATCTATTCCCCATCACCACAGTTTATATTAAAACTTGTTCATCGTTTCTGTTATCATTAAACGATCATTGCGGAATTTTGCTCAGAAAAACTAAATATAGCTGAATATAGTCTCACCTGACAGCGAAAATATCACTGATTACACCAAACATTCAAACACCAATATTTTATGCAGTTATAGCATAGAAAAATTGATTGACCAACATCATACCAGCAATACATTTTTTTCGAGTCAGGACTTTCAAAAATCACAAATGGCGTCTCAACAAGCGAACATAATTAAAACAAAGGGGCATCTAATTGGTGTGCTGATAAGTATTCTCGCTGGCGGTACGCAACGAGGATTTAATCCACTCCTCTCTCCGTCTTCGTTATAGTCCCTAGGACGTTTGAAGACTAATATTTATGAGGTTACAACTTACACTTGTGTTACGCTACTATGCACCTCTGTGTTTACATCTGACCAAAAATATCTCCGGTGCGATTTTTGCATTACTGTTACCCTTGTTGACGTCTTGCTTTTCGAGGCCGAGCTGAAGGCGTTCTGGAGTCAACAATCTTCTTTTGAAAGCGTGGTGTTAGTAGCGAAACGACCATACACCGAACTCGAGACCGTGGTTCCGCCCTGCCTGAAGATTGCTGCTAAAATTATTCACAGAGGAGACGAGGCTGTGAAGAAGGTGGACAAGCTTGCTCTATCCGACACTACCACTCGCCGCCGGTGCAAGATGGTTGCTGATGACTTGAAAGATCAGCTTTTCAAGAAACTACACCAAGCTGTCTGTTACGGTCTTCAACTTGATGAAACGACAGATGTAGCGGGCGAAGTGCAGTTGATCGTTTATTGCCATATCCCCGACTTGGAGAAGGGAACTCTCGTCGACCACTACGTGTGCTGTGTACCGGTAGGAGTCGAAACCACTGCGCAAGCAATTTTTGACAAGCTGACTGAGTTCTTGGATGAAGGGGATGTGCAATTGGATAAATGCAAGGCTATGACCACAGACGGAGCAGCGGCAATGACTGGACGAGTGAACGGGCTTGTCAAAAAAAACCAAGCTGTGTCGCCAACTTGCGTCGCCACACACTGTATGATTCACAGAGAAGCCTTGGCTGCAAAGCCGATAGGATCGGACAAGACCGAGAAGAATGAACTTGAACTGGTACTGGAGGACGTTGTGAAGATCGTGAATGCAGTGAAAGCCAACACGAAGAAGCATCGGATGTTCAGTAAACTTTGCAAGGACATGGATGTCGAATTCTCGAAACTGCTCTACCACAGTGGCGTTCGCTGGTTATCAAGGGGGAAAGTGCTGAACCGAGTTCTGGCTTTGAGAGAAGAATTGACAGTATTTTTCATGGAGCAAGCAGACGAGAAGGCTGTGCTGTTTCAAGATGACTTTTGGGTTTCCAGGCTGGCCTATTTGGCTGATGTCTTCGGCCACCTGAACAACTTGAACCTTGGACTCCAAGGAAATGGCGGCGACGTGTTCATTACGATTTCCAAGGTACAAGGCTTCGAAAAGAAGATCGAACAGTGGAAACGGAGGGCTGAGAATGCTGATTTTTAATGTATTGCTGGTATGATGTGGTCAAATCAATTTTTCTATGCTATAACTGCATAAAATATTGGTGTTTTGAATGTTGGTGTAATCAGTGATATTTTCGCTGTCAGGTGAGACTATATTCAGCTATATTTAGTTTTTCTGAGCAAAATTCTCGCAATGATCGTTTTAATGATAACAGAAACGATGAACAAGTTTAATTATAAACTGTGGTGATTGGGGAATAGTATAGTTAATGATGACGTAGAGACAGTTAAGCTGTACTGCTTACTTGTACATGAGCCTCGCTCGGTCACGCGCACTCATTTTCCCCCACTCTCCATGGGAGAACGCTTCCTGCAGATGTGAAAAGCAAAATTGCAATAGCCACAATACTCCAGACTAAGTTATTGCATAACAGTATATACCTATTCCAACGTCCCCTACAAACATTGCCGTACACTCAGCCCTATCATATTTACTCACGTAATTCTCTCTCCTTACAAATACTCGCATAATATCAACGACACTGGGACATGTTACAGTTTGATTGTCTAATTTAGTCTTATTGGCAGGAACAAAAAATCATTAAACAGTAGCAAATGACCTCATCTCACCGACACCATATAATATACTTGTGTTAATAATGTTAAATACTTATTATAATTAACACTAATTATGTTACACTATTCATACAAGAGATTTTCGACACTAGCTTCATCTTTCGATGGCGTCCCACGACTTACACTGGTGCAGTGCATGGCCACGTCTGTGTCCTCCTCTACCCACACCATGTAATATACTTCATGTTACCCTACTAATACCCACACCCACACCACGTAATATACTTCATGTTACCCTATACTCATACACACACACACACCACGTAATATACTTCAATTTAGACTATTCACATACAGACATTTGACGCTACCGTCATCGTTCGACACTATCGTCCCACGACTTACACCGGCGCAGTGAACTGCGACGTCCACGTCTTCCTTGGACGCCTTGGCGATGGAGCAGATGACCGACTCATCGCTCGGGTTGATCGTGGCGTACGCACGTCCGCTCACCGAGTCGACAAACTCGTTGTTGATGAACAGCTGGTGCGGGAAGCACACGTCCATGTTGTTCACTCGCAGGTTCACCTGAAGCAAGGAACAACACAAACTGAACGTGAATTCCCGCGAGCGATGAATTCGACTCTCGATGGCCGCTCGATCGACAACTAACCGCCATCGTAGGTTCCGTCAGGATTAGTTTACTGGAGATTAGATGATAAAGATTAAGTGCTGTTTGGCGTTAACACCGCGCAGGGATATATGAAGATACGTCCATGTTGTTCACTCGCAGGTTCACCTGACGCAAGGAACAACGCAAACTGAACGTGATTTCCCGTGAGCGATGGATTCGACTCTCGATGGCCGCTCGATCGACAACTTACTGCAGGGGCGGCTATAAGTTACTTTAGCTAAGCTAAGAAATCAAGGTTTAATAAAGGCTAGATTACTTCACCGGCAATTAGATAATAAAGATTAAATGCCGTTTGGTGTTAACACCACGCAGGAATGCGAAGGCAGGCAAGTACCAGGCAAGGCAGGCAACGCAGGCAAGTGCCAGGCAAGACAGGCAAGCGACAAACAAGCCACGCAATCGACAGGAAAGGCAATCAAATGATAGGCAAGGCAGGCAAACGGCAGGTAAGGCAGGCAACTGACAGACAAGGCAGGAAAACGACAGGGTAAGGCAGACAATTAAGTGACACAGACGAGGCAGGCTGGGCCCGCGAGCAACTTACGGGATCGTATTTGACCTCGTCGCTGGTGTCACCGCCTCGGGATTTCAGAATGCAGTTTCTCACAAACTCCTGAAACGTCGTGCCCATGTAGACGTCTTCTGTGGTCAGTGTCAGACCGCCACACTTGTCCTTCACTTCTTCGACCAGCCTGCAAAATCACGTCACGCAATAGAGAAATGGACTTCTCACGTGACGCTCATAATACGACTCTCCATCAGACGTAAATCTAATGACCTTGCTCAAAAAAAATTATACATAGCAATAGATGTGTGCCTAGGTTTCATAACTGAATTAATAATAAATATATGTTTATGTATATTTGGCCTTTTAAAATTATGCTATACCTTGTCACGTCCATTGAACCAGCTCCGGATTTAAAAAAGTCAGTTTCGTCTTCTATAGTGTCGGTTTGCAAAATCGATTTCCAAATTCCCTGTTAAAAAACCATCAAGGAACCATTAATACTACACTGCTTCACACACCTTCGTGTTTTGCGATTCCGATAATATCCTCACACGAATACGTATTCTCACCTTTAAGCTCTCCACTATCGTCTCCTCATCGGCTGTGAATATCAATTCCTCCTCCTCTTCCTCCTGACCAAACTTAGAAGCTTTGATCATCTTGCCAGTCTCTAGTTCCAAACTTCTGATGTTAATCTGCAGGAAAAGTGAACACGATCAATGAACAGATGACACCCGATGCATGTCTGCATCTACAGTCAGTACAAGGGCAGGAGTTCATTGTGTTGTTAGTATAATTAAGAAGCAACTTTGTTACATGCATCACATGGTTAATACTTCTCAACGTGGTAAATATCAATACGAACAGTTGCAGGAACAATGATAGAATCAAGAAATTCGAAAAATCAAGAATGCAAACGAACTGTGACATTATAATTTCCACAACGTTTACACCTTATGCTAAGGGACAAGAAACACACAACGAGGCTACCCAAAGACTTCCACTGAAGGAGAAATGTTCAACCCATCATGTGACAAGAAACAAAATTTCAGACAGACGAAAAGGATTTACGTTTAAACGTGCAATATATCACACAGTAGTACAAGTGTATTGTAGACTGTACAATCCCAGAGCAACATACAATTAACTTGCAGTTCCTTGCCCCGTTACACCATAGATCGGTGTTGATAGACATTTTCTTACCATGCCTCCATCGTTGGCAAACAGAATCATGCCATCGCTGTGTACTAGAGCTGGCTCCTTCATCCCGGCGATCTCCACCTTTCTGCACTTGATTGGACGTGCCCGCCTCCACACACTACTTCCATAGAACGTCACCATCTGTACAATATGCACTCCACAGTAGAAACGAATTACATGCATTCGCATATATTGCAGTCGCTCACCGCACCTAAACTATCTGAGGTTAACCCAAACTCTGCGGCGAATTAAGTAATTCCGCCCATATTTGCCTTTCATCTGTTTAGTAGACGTTTTGTGCAATGTAATGATCGATAATACCAAGAGAAGAGTGGCACGAACATTCACATGTAGTTTCAAAAAAAGTAAAACGCCCACAACGAGATGCACGAATCTCCCTCGCGATCTGGGAATGTTTCAACTCTTTCGGGATCACGCGCGGGGATAAGCAGGGATAATAACACACCTGCCCATTGATCTTGCACCAGGCTCCCGGATTGTGGTCACAACCCCGGATCCAGTTGTGCAGCTCGAGCGTAGACTTGTCCCACGATGTGATCTAAAGTACAGATAGTACAATCAGACATGCACTAAAAGACACACCAGTTCTGCAGTAATAGAACTGCGAGTGAACACTTGGCGACCGTGCTACTGTACTGCATTGAACAGCATGTTAGGGGAGCCATGTTAGCATAGCAGGTGCACGTCTGGTTAGAATAACTATAAGTCTAAACAGTAATATCATCACTGGTGAGCGGGGCCATTAAAACTGGTAGTGAAGAAGGTATAAATTGGCCCAGAATGTGATGTTACAATGCTCCAGGTGCCAGTGAAATGCAGCACAGTAGAAACTCTGGGTTGTCTGGAATATTAACTAGGTAATAGGCACCACCAAGTCCAGCTTAGCACATGTCAGTTAATGCAAGATGGAATAATGCACAAAGCATATGCATATGCAATACATGTGCTATAGAATTGTGTGAATTATATCCTTATCTTATAACAATAAACATAAGACATACCAGAAGTACGTCATATCATGTATTATTTTATTATAGTTTTATGTGATGATTTAATATGGTTGACATATTTGATATCATGTACTCCTATTATATATATGTATATGCGATAATAATACCTCAGCCACTGCTTTCTTCTGAAACATTGCGTCATATGTTGCTCCCTCCTTTGGTTGTTTGATTCTGGGTGCCCGCCCCTGAGCAATCAACATCACCGACTCTCTCTGTGAAACAAAAAGAAATTGTGAGGTCGAACTTACAGAAATTCTGCTGGTTTAACTCTATAGCTGTGAATAATGGGCCCACCTATTACTGTATTATCATGAAAATACATTAGCAAGAGAACCCAACTTCCTTTTCTCAAGGACTTTTAACAAATTTTATCTCATGTATAAGCCACCTCCCCGTGTAAAAATAAAACCAGTTACCATGGCTTTGATACCCTCCGGAAACATGAATCTGTTATAGAGAGAGTCGACATTGTCGTCGGGTTTGACAAAGCATTCCCTCATCATCAGGATATCTCCCGTATCCAGCCCATCATCTGCCCAGAAGATTGAGAATCCAGCCTTCTTGTCTCCACACAGTAGAGTCCTAGATGAAGTTGAGACGAGGGTTTTTTATACATAAGAGGCACAGTGGCGCGCCGCCGTTGTCAAATTTAACATCGCCGTTGTGAAAATGCTCTTTCGTAAAAGTTAAAGTTAAATTTCATTTTCGGGTACCTCAAATGCAATCTAATGGCCTAATTACACGATGCGTCCTAGACGTACGTCCAGGCCTTATCAGATTTACGCGTACGTCCTTGACGCAACGGTGAATCTGTTTACACGGTGAGTTTTGTTCGTACGTCCAGGACAAGTAGTTCAAGGGCAGGCCACCATGGGGAGAACACGTACACGACGGCTGAAGAAAATTGCCATAGTGTATTTAAGAAAAAATATGAAATTTCACAAAGAAGGAGACGAGCTTGGGTGAGACTAGCTTGGATCGCCAGGAGAGACAAACTTGGAGCGTATCATGCACTTCAAAAAGAATTGGAGGAGGAAGACCCCGGAAGCTTCCGAAATTATGTGAGGATGGACATGGACACTTTCCAAGAACTCCTTGAAAAGGTCACACCAATAATTCAATGCTCTACAACCAATATGAGGGAACCAATTTCTGCTGCAGAACGTTTATCTGTGATCCACAGGGGATGCCATGCTGTCAACACTGTTCATCGCGAAGAGACTTAAGCACGTGACCCATTCTCACCCACCTGATTAGGTGGGTTCATGCGTCCTGCTTACGATGTCGCAAGAAATTAGAACATCCGTCTAGTGCATCCGATATCGCAGGGGTCATAAAATTGTGTCGTACTGCATAGTTTACATGGTGCGTTTTGGACGTATGCGTCTGACTGATGCGACAGACGTACATCTATGACGCATCGTGTAAATAGGCCTTAAGACATTCAAATTTTTAAAATTTGTGGGAGAGTTCCCCCTCTCCCTCTCTCCCCCGCGTCCGCCTTTGAATCCATCATGTGTGTTTTTTTCCCAAACTGGCCATTACCTCCTTTGTCTAATTTTCCCTCAGAAGCAACCCTGGAGACGAGAGGGCAGAGCATTTAGAGCAGCTCTGGTGGCCCAAGCCTAGTTTAGCACCCAAGATTAGCTGAGCACGTATGCAAAAACATATTGCAGGGGTGCCAAACTATCCTTGATCCGCTCTCGCACGCTCGTGTTGCAGTTACATCACACGTAGCATACCAAATAGCACCTCTGAGCAATAAAAAATATCAGGTGTGCTCGTCCACTATATAGTCAGACTGCTATAGGTCATGAATGACCCCAAGGTAAAATACTGCAGCCATTCGACTGTTACAGACACGATCCGACCGATGTTCGCATTTATTATGCACGACAACACTCAGAACATTCTCGAAACCAAGTTGTAAAGCAAACACCGCAGTAAACGAAGCGTACTAAGATACCACACGTCAACAACGCCCGAATAAAAACAAACCGTCCGATAATGCACAATGAACGCGATGCCACATTACCAGTTGATAGCCGAGGCGCCGCGGTGTCGTGGCAGGAGCGAGGGGTGGTAGATGATGCTGTGAAGACGCGGGTGTTCAATGATGTCCATCGGAATGAACTGGCTACAGTAGGGGAGGATGTTGAGATCGGGTTTCGTCTGCCTGTACTGCTCGACCACCTCTGGAATGGCGACACCCTTCTGCCGCCACGCCTTGAATTTGAACAGAGGGACTCCATCTTTTTCAGCAAGCTGAGCTAAAAATGGAGGCAATTAATACTGTTGGTTAATGGGGATCACTCTCATGGTCCCTATTAAAAATCCGACATTCAAGTTAACATGTACCGAAAACGAAATGAATTAATATCCAAACTATTTATTGCACTTTCGTACACTATTGGCAAAATATATATTACATTAAGATTAATTAATCATCTGTATTTATCTTGAGAGTCACATGTTGGAAGTGATGGGGTGCCCAGACTACATGTATGTAGTATCAGAAGTACCACGACCACAGATTTGTTACAGCAGTACAGCTGGTCGTATGTGTCTTGTGCAGTTAGAGATGTACATGTGCATATAAACCTTTGCAGATTACAAACACATTTAGTCAAGAGCTTCTAAGTTCTATACTGTACATAAAAAAACAATATAGTATACGTCTTCACAGGGAGTGGAAGAGGAATGGGTGAGGTATATCAAGCGAAATACAGGAATGTTACCAGAGAGAGTGCGTGCCTAGGGGCGACACCATGTGATTTATTCAGCTCGGTCTTACACTTGCATGTCTAGCCTCATTGGAACTGGTTTTACCTCGGTTGCGCAACTTCACAATGACATTGTAAATGACATTTCCCAAAGGGAAATTTTCTCAAATACAACTACCTATAGAAAAGGTCATACAACATTGACACACTCTTCTCTACTATTTCATGTTTGTGGCACGTAATTTTGCCAGTATAAAAAACTCAGAGTAAAGTGCATCTTTTTATAACTGGTTTGATTTACTTATACGATATATCTACTGATAGTGATCAGTTGGAAATGGTTTTCGACTTTTGCCGTACCAAGTGGGTCTACTTTTCCATTCTTATCAGGTATTGTAAAGACTCCAGCTATAGTGTGTCCATCAGCGACGAGCGCCTTGTATACTTCCACTGCAAATATGCTTTGTCCTATAATGGCAACTCTCAGTTTCTCGTAGGCAATCTAGAAAATAATTAAGGCACAACGTAAGGGAAACATCTCGTCTTTCGATTTATAATTGTTTCTTGGAGTGAACTCTCTGCAAAAAAGCCTTGAGAACCCCCGTACCTCTTCAACTCTTTGAATAATATTCTTGAACTCTTGAACGTATACTCCTTGAACACTACCACCAATGCACCATGAACATGTGTATTCTCACATGAGAATACACATGCTCATGAATCATGATATTTAGTATTACCGCGTGTGTGTAAGGTCCAATTACCCTATTCTCCACGAAGAGGGAATTAACTAATATATGTGTGTAAAGGCTAAACTGACGCTGAGAGGGTCTATGTCCCCCAGGGTACTGCCGGAACGTACCCTGGACCGTACCCTGGTACTATCTAATATGCCGGACCGTACCTCGCCTACTCCACTAACGAGTCTATGCAGTCGCCTACGCCTACTCCCTAACCCTAACTCTAACACTAACCCTAACCCTAACCTTAACCATATCAAATAGTTACCAGGATACGTTCCGGTATACCGGACCGTACCCAGGGTACGTTCCGGCAGTACCCTGGGGGACATAGACCCTATGAGCTAAACTAACCATAATCCTAACCGCATACCATAACCATCTACTCCCTATACAACGTCTTAACATGGTGGGAACATTTAGCACCTTTCACTTTCAGTAGGCCTAGGTGGAATCCGGAAATCGAGCAAACTAGTGTACACAGACTCAGTACTGGCCAGCCTGAGAAGAGGATAAACTTTACACTAAACTTACGTTATTCAACGGGTGAACGGTCGTCAGTTTCTCCATGGTGAACGGCGGTGTACGTGAAGTCTAGGCGTAGTTCTAGAAAACCGACGAACAACAACTTGACCTTAGTACTCGGCAACGAGACCGGCTTAGTCCGGCTACTGAGAGATTACTTAGATCAACAAGGTATTAACAGATAAACCGCTACACGACACCACTTACAACATAGGCTTACAATGTGCACCGGGGCAGCAACAGCAACAGCAACAACGACAGCGACAAGCCGACAAAAACAGCACAAGTCTATACTCGCCAATGGACGCCTCGTGAAGAAACTAGGTCACTCTCCACGCGATATGCGTCGTCATCGGTGGGCGTGGATGCCACAGACACATGTACATGCGCCCAGGCACCAGCAGCTGATATTGACGCTTCCGTGCTCTACGTTTATTACCGAGCAATACGTTTATGCTTGGACGCTACGTATAGATACCAAGTGCATAAATATATACTAGCATGTGTATATTTATATTTATCGTTGCATATGATATGAGTAAAGGCTAAAGCGAAGCTATGCAGGCTATGCGATAGAACCAGTAGTGGCAGTAATGCAGTGCACCTACATGTATGTGTGTATTTGTTATATTTAGTTATATTTAGCTATATTAGTTTAGTTATATAATAGTTAGTTTAAATAGTTTAGTATAGCTAATTTAGTTATATTTTGTTATATTTAGCTCCTTGGTGTGTACATGTATGATTAATTGCACGCGCCGCACGTGTGTGGACGCGTGTATACGTATCTTGTATCTTGTATCTTGGGGTGCGTCGAACGCTGACCGGCGTCGATCGAGTCCGCGCCAACTCGCAGTCGTCATGTAACGCGCTGCACACAGTTCAATAGAACGGTTGATAGAGATCAGCGGTGCGAGGGTGACAGAAGATTGCAGGGTGTCGTGTGGTCACTAGTATAAGGTTACAGACGGCTGGGTCACGGCTAACCTCAACGACCTCAGGCAGTAGCGTTGACGTGGCAGGCAGCCTAGCTTACCGATATGATCCCGTGCGTCGCGCCCCCCCCCGCTCTCTTCTCTCCTCGGCGCTTTCCCGCTCTCTGCGCGCAATTCTCTGCGCTCTCTCTCTCTCTCGCGTCTCTTTCTCTCTCTCTCTCTCTCTATCGTCTCTCTCTCGTAGCTTGCTCTCTCTCTTCTCTCACTGCTCTCTCTCTCCTCTCCCTTTCTCATCTGCTCTCTTCTCTCTCGTCTCTCTCTCTCTGCTCTATCTCTCTCTCTGCTCTTGCTCTCCTCTCTCTCTCCTCTCTCTACTCGACTCTCTCTTCCTCTCAGTCACTCTCTCTCTCTCTCTCCTCCCTCTCCCTCCGCGCCTGCTCTCTCTCTCGCTCTCCTCTCCTCTCTCTCTCTACCTCTCTCTCTCTCTACTCTCTCTCCTCTCTCAATGATCTCTCTCTCTCCTCTCTTATTGCTCTTCTCTCTCTCTCTCTCTCACCTCCCACCTCTCTCTCTCTCGCCTCCCCATACCTCTTCTCTCCTCTCGTCTCTCTTCTCGTCTCTCTGCTCTCTCTTCTCGTCCTCTCTCCTTGCTCTTCTCTATCTCTATTCTCTATCTTCTTTGCTCAGGTCATCTCAGTCATCAGTCATCTCGCCCGCGCGAAGCAGTCTCTCTCTCTCGCTCTCCCTTCTCTTCTCTCTCTCTGTCTCTCTCTTCTATCTATTTCTCATCTCTATCTCTGCCTCTCTGCTTTTGCTTCTCTCTCGTCTCCCTCCCACCTCGTCTCTCCTCGCTCCTCTCTCTCCTCTCTCTCTCTCTCTCTTTCTCGTCTCTCTCTCTTTCTCTCTCTCTCTCTCTCTCTCTCTCTCATCTATCTCTCTCTCTTGGCTCCTCTCTAGTCTCTACTCCTCTCACAACTAAGTCTACGCAGTAATAGACTACAAGGACTGCAAGATCACGGAGTTAACATCACTGGGCGACGGGCCAAATTCATGCAAAACTATTCATGATCTGATTGATAACGTACAGTTAGCTAGTAACAATATGCGTGGGTGCCCATGTCGTAAGAATGTGTGGTAAACATGTATAAGGGAATCGTGATAACACTTGTATAAACAATTGGGACTGCATCAACCATTGCTAATAACAATCCATGTAACTATTGTATAAGGACCCGAGCTACACACCAGCGTACAGCAAAACTTCTAGAGAGGAAAACACGACTCGAGGAAGAGAGTTATGTCCAACCGTAAATCAACCATAATCGTTGCCTCCGCACCCGTCTCTAAATCCCAATCTCACTGATTCCTCATCCGCATCCCCGGAACATCCTTCTTCTTCTCCTGTTTCCCTCCTTGCCCCGGCCAACAAGAAACAGCAGCAACAAACAAACAACAACAACAACTAAGCAATAACTACGATTCGACGAACGAGTAGGCCACCCCAATTTTTTGTCCCCCCGGCCCGCCGCCTCGTACCAGACAGAACTCACAGGATGCATTGAGTAAATAACAACTCAGGCGGGTGCAGAGCAGGAAGCTAACAAACGCACTCTCTGGTGGCATAGAGAACGCCGAGTTCCGCACCACACGCGCAAAAGACTCGTGCCACAGTCCACAGAGTCAGAGATGCCGTGTTCCCAACGAGAAGCATTGGGTTTGATTCAAGATCGTGCAGCCCAGCTCTAATGTGCCACGCGCGCATGGTGTACATAGCACCGCGAGGCGTGTTACCTGAACGCCGTGCGTACAAGAGCGTTGCACGTGAGTGTATCTGCCGTGCACAGATGCCAGCAATGACCGCATAGGCAGTGCATGTGTACGTGCGCGGCACGTGTGTATGTGCGGGTACGCGTGTATTGTGCCACGCACGCGTGTATGTGCACGCACGCGTGTACGTCGCGCGGCATGCGATAGTACGCGCGACGCATGCGTGTACGTGCACGCACGCGTGTATGCTCACACGCCGCGTGGTATGCGCACGCATGCGTATGCGCACGCGATGCGTGTACGCGCACGCATGCGTGTACGTGCACGCACGCGTGTAATGATGCACGCACTTGCGTGTATGTGCACGCATTGCGTGTACGTGCACGCACGCGTGTCAACTGCACGCAAACGCGTGTACGTCGGTGTGTATGTGCGTAGGGTAGGGCGATAGCGGTAGGGTAAGGGTTAGGGTTGTGGCGTATATATATATATATACCGAGACCCCTATACTATATACTACTATACGCACTAACCTAACTATTATTAGGGTTAGGGTATATATATATATAGGGTTAAGGTATATACCCTCACCCTAACCCCTACCCTTAACCGCTAACCCACACACACGCGGTGCAAGTGTAGGGTATATATATATATATAACTAGGGGTAGGGTTATAATGTTATGGTAATATAATATATATATATTATATATAATATATATATATTCCCTAACCTAAGTTATCCACGCCTCAAGAGGCGGGGGATTCGCGAAAAGCACGTACGTTCGCGGTCGACCCGGCTGACGCTCGATCGAAAGTCGCGCTCAACTCGCCAGTCGTCAGTGTAGAACGCGCTGCACACAGTTTCATAGAACGGTTGATAGAGATCTAACGTGCGAGGCTGCAGAATGGCAGGGGTGTCAGTGGTGGTCACAGTATACAGGTTACAGAGGCTGGTCAGCACTCACTGACTCAGCACGTAGCGACGTGCGGCAGCTAGCTGTACGATATGATCCCGCGTCGTCCCCGCCACCCCCACCCCCCCGCCTCTCTGCGCTCTCTCTCTCTTCTCCTCTCTCTCCTCTCTCTCGCTCTCTACTCTCTCTCTCTCTCTACTCTCTCTCTCTCTCTCTCTCTCTCTATCTCTATTCTCTCTCTTTGCTCTCTCCCCCTCCTCTCTCCTCACCCACCTCTCTTCTCTCTCTCGCTCTCTCTCTCTCTCTCTTCTCTACTCTCTCCTCTATCTCTCTCCCTCTTGCTCCCTCTCATCTCTCTCTCTCCTCTCCTCCCACCTCTCAATCTCCATCTCTCTCTCTCTCTCGCTCTCCCTCTCTCTCTGCTGCTCTCTCTGCTCTCTCATCTCTCTCTCCTCGTAGTCTCTCCTCTCTGCCTTGCTCTCTCTCTCTCTCTTCTCTCTCCCTCCCACCTCGCTCTCCCTCGCTCTCCCTCTCCTCCTCTCTCTCTCTTCTCTCTCTCTCTCTCTCTTTCTTCTCTCTCTCATCTCTCTCTCTCTCTCTATCTCTATCCTCTCTCTTGCTTTGCTGCTCTCTCTCTCTCCCTCCCACCTTGCTCTCTCTCGCTCTCTCTCTCCCTCTCTCTCCTCTCTCTCTCTCTCTCTCTCTCTCTCTCTCGGCTCTTGCTCTATCTCTCTCCTTCTTGCTCTCTCTCTTCTCTCTCCCGTCCCACCTCTCTCTGCTCGCCTTCTCTCTCTTTCTCTCTCTCTCTCTCTCTCTCTCTCTCTCTATATCTCTCTCTTTCTTGCTCCCTCTCTATCTCTCTCTCTCTCTCTCCCCCCACCTCTCTCTCTCTCGCTCTCGCCTCTCTCTCTCTCTTTCTCGGCTCTCTCTATCTCTTATTCTCTCTCTCTTGCTTCTCTACATCTCTCTCTCTACCATCTCTCTCCCTCCACTCCTCTCTCTCTCTCCTCTCTCTCTCTCCTCTCCTCTCTCTCTCTCTCTCTCTCTCTATCTATCTATCTCTCCTCTCTGGCTCGCCTCTCTATCTCTCTCCCTCTCACGCCTAAGTTAGACAGTAATTACTACAAGGACTGCAAGATCACGCGAGTTAACATCAGCGCAAGCATTAAAACATGCAAACAATTTTCATGTCTCTGCCATTGGCGTAGCCAGCAATTGAAACAGGGGGCCAAGGCGAGGGAGCGAAGCGACCGAGGGGGTAGGGTGTGGAGGGGTATCCCCCCCTCCCACCGGTAGGGAGATTTTTGAAAATTCCCGTGCATAAAAATGGCATTTCTCTGCACACTAAAATTCAGTATTAGGGGTAACGTATATGAGAAGGTGGCATATGCTAATCCCTTATAACCCCCCTCCCTCGCTTTTTATTTTTCCACTCCGATCCGATCAAACGTGGGACGATGGCGCCCTGGCTGTGGCGCCGGAAGCTCTGAAGGTTACACACGACCAGTTGGTGGACCCTTAGCTAGACCAGTGAAAATGGTGTACGAAGCCAGTTTTTTCAGGGAGGGAAGAAAAGAGTTAAGCGACCAAAGACAGCGCGATGAAGCAATTTCTCAACGCGGGGAGGGTGTTCCCGCTCCCACAGTAGGGTAATTTTTGAAAATATGTGCATCAAAATGGCATTTTTGCGCATTTCATTTTTATTATTAGCGTATAGGTAATAGGGGTATAGACCAACCCATTCAGCGGCCCTTCTCTCTAATTTTCTACTCTCCGATCAAGAAGGGCGTCATGGCCTCCTTGTGCCCCCCCCCCTTAGCCTACGCCTATGTCCTCATTCAACACTGACGGAATATTGAATTAGTTTGATTTGTGTTGTTAGCAGTGACAATGCAATGTTGCCATTTATCCGTCATAAACTGTTTCAAGTTCCTCAATAAAAGTTAAAAGTTAAATTATTTTTTTGAAAAAGTAGAGGCATATTTGAATGAAATCGAAATAAAATTCTACGGGAAAAACAATAGATGTGTTGGAACTGACATGAATAAACATGCAATTTTATTTAAATCTACAAAAGATTTACATCGTTTAGAATACAATAGCGTTAAAGATCACATTTAACCATTTTTGTTCGTTATAAAAAATGTTTTTGCTTTCCTCTGATGAAGAACTAAAAACCATATTGAAATTTGATTTCAAATAAAAACAAAGGTAGCTGCCAAAAATAGCCGCTCTATTAAAAATAAAAGGAATTACCATGAAAAGAATTGTTTTTCCTCTCCCTGATAGAGAACAGTTACTTAAAATAGTGTTGAAATCGGATTTGAAATAAAAACGAGGTGGATGCCAAAATGGCCGTCTATAAGTTCGAATATATCAAAGTTATTCACAAAGCATTTCCATTTCTTTCTTCTGTCAATAAGAGTTTCAGAACCATAAAATTCAATCAAAGCCAACTTGCAACAACACAAATCTGAGCAAAGAAGAATTATCTCCTTTCTTTTTAGTCATGTTTTTGTCTGCTGGCAGAAATCTCAAAATCCAAAGTCAAGTCTTCTCGTCGATTTTGCAGCAGAACATTTTGAGGATTTCCGTTGACATTAATGTCATTCACTAACTCCTGTTCAAGGAAAAGGAGAATGAGAGCAAGAATCGTGGCTGGGTCATTGTTAGAACGAAGTTTAAGACTTGACAATGCTCATTTTAGAGAATGTTCGTTCAGCAGATGCAGAAGTAACAGGAATTGTGGCCAGTCCTGTGAAGACGCGTGAGAGGCAAGGAAAAAAAAAATTTTGTTTTGTTTGCCAATCAACAGGGGGGGCCATGGCCCCCTTGTGCCCCCCCCTTAGCTACGGCCAGTGCTAGCTACCACTGGGCCACGGGGCCACGGATCGAGGCTCTCGCTACGGGCGTAGTATGAAAAATGTCAGTAATAAAAATGCACAATTAACTTACGTCACAAATCGTGTCTAAAACTCACAATTAATTACATAACCCCACAATATTATAATCCAACTGATTGTTCCGAACATAAGTCACAGCCAAAGGTTGAGCAATTGATCCATATAGCCGATTGGCCCCAAACACGTACCGGTACGCGGATTGCAGTAGCAAAAGTTTCAATTTTTCTTCAATAACAAGTTTTCTTCAACCTTTATAGAAGAAGTTTCCTTCTTCTTGAGAAGAAGAAAAGAGAATTCCAATAAGGAATGACAAAAAAGTAAGCAATGTGCGCAGATGTGGTTTTTATTTCTTGACACTGACAAAATTAGCATGCTATACCTGCATAATATTTTTCTCAGGCTATATGGCACCGAGACAAGCCGTTTCAACACCCATATATCCTATTACCACCACGTACCACCATCCATCATTTCTCATTAATGTCCTTCAATGAGCAAGGTGATGTAGCACGTGTAAGCATGAATGCAACAGTTTGGTGCATACTGGATGCCAGAAATTGTCGTCTAAAGCACTCTAAAATGGGCGTCTAGTGCTGCCTATACTTTCCCTCACTGATTGCTGCTGACCAACCCGTTTACCATTTCTGCACCTACCCAGATTGTAATTAACCAGATTGTTGGCCTTCCAAGAACCTAGAGTAATGCTGATGCAGCATGAATTCATTCAATCAGTAAAATATATAAGATAATCCTGTAGGTTGCCTTACAAAATGTTTCTAGATGGCAAGCCAAGGTATAGATATACAGGTAATCAAGAAAATGCAATTGTATCACAAGATATTTGCACATACAATAGTAAAATTTGAGTTTATTTACAAATGTTTACAATCACACTGTCGTTCTACTCTCGACTTTAACCTCGTTTCGTTCTTCGACGTCGAACGGATCGTCGATGCCGCGACGACACGGCATCGAATCGCCCCGCGAACGCCGCGTCACACGGAAGTGCTAAAGAATACCGCCGATCGCCCGCGAACGCGCTCACACGAGTGTAAAGAATACCGCGATCGCCGGAACGCCGCGTACAGCGACGTGTAAAAGAATACCGCCGATGCGCGCCGCGGAACGCGCGTAACACGTCGTGTAAAGAATACCGCCGATCGCCGGCCGCGAACGCCGAGCGTCACACGGAGTGTTAAAGAATACCGACCGGATCGCCGCCCGAACGCCGCGTCACACGGCGTGATAAAGAATACCGCCGGATCGCGACCGCGAACGCCCGC